TCATTTTACGCCTTCTAAGAGGCCTTAGGGAGCTTCAAGTTTGCTACAACCTATGCATTTAAGTATCTATATAGTCAAATCTTACACCCTCTGTCATTTTGACGAAATCTAATTTACTCATCAAGGGGAATCATTGCTGTTGTTAATAGTAAGTACTTAAGTTGAGCTATGGGTGCTATCTTTCAAAATTGCCTTGCTTTGAAGATAACAGGTAATGCCAGTATTTACAATAAAGCTTCAAGATCTACCCGTTGGCTTTAAAGCAAATTGACGTGTTTTAATTAATCGCAAGCTCGTGTACTATTTGGAGTAGCTGTACGTTGGTGTTTTCGGAATGGGGTCAGCGTCAAGTAGTCTTGATAGCAGCACGGCTGGGTATCACATCCTAAAGGCATGCCACCTTATTTTTGTACAATTCCTAGGTTCAAGAGGGGTCACCAGGTCAGAAGGCCGGACTTGAGGCATTTTTTGATTTCATAGTGTCCGTCGGTGATATAAGATTGGTGAGTTTCCAGGTTTTTTTGCCAGTTTCAAACTTAGGAAGCACCAGTCTTTTTTGCCATCTGCAGTAACAATTCCTTACGATGGCAGAACTTGGACAACTTTTTCTTGATTTTGCACAAAGTTTAAGTCTCCTCTGTAAAATATGCTTGGTTTTCACAATGCTACAACGAAGCGAAAAGAACGAATCTCACTTTGTTGACTTAGCACTCAATCTATTAATATTAACAGCAGCAGGACAATGAAAGCATCAAGGACGTGTTGGCGAAGTACAAGGACACGCCAATGCAATTGGAGGTGTATTCCTCCAAAACACAGGAATTTCGCGAGGTCACGCTGATTCCCAGCTCTGATTGGGGTGGTCAGGGTCTTCTAGGACTTAGCATTCGTTACTGCTCCTTTAAGGGTGCTAGCGAAAATGTCTGGCACGTGCTTGATGTCTCCCCCGGCTCTCCTGCTGCCATGGCTGGGCTACAACCCTTCTCGGACTACATCATTGGCACTGATGCTCTCCTTACTGATGTGAGTACTCATTTTAAACCAGCCTTGGTTACTCCACATTACGGATATCCGGTTCCCGATTTATTCTCATTTGTTGCTCATTTTCTGTGGTTTTCAGTGTTAAAGTTTTGCTTCTATCATGCTGCATAGTAAAGACTAAATAAGTATGTTGATCCTAACAGTTGTTATTTTTTATGGATCTGATCAAACCTTTGTTGCGTTGGGCCGTAATTTTGGCGCTCGGTGACGTTTTCGCTTCCACGTCACCGAGGCTCGTGACTTTGAGTAAGTACATTCCCCACTCCGTTTTACGACTGTGGGTCTTGCGTGACTTTTAGTACTGCCATATTTTGGTCTCTCAGTGTGCCATATTCTTATCCTTCGATCGACTTGGAATTTTTTTACCTTTCGTGGCTTTCTGTTTTAATTGTGCGAAGGTTAAGCGACTGCGTTATCAGCCATGTATTATCGAATCCTCTTTTTCAGCTCCCCCCAATTGTTACTAATCATTCTCGAGACACGCTAATTCAGCTGAAGCTGTAGCCAGCAGTGTGTGTTTCTTTCACTGAAAGGCCACGACGTTTTGACGTTACAGGAGTTGCCAAGTTTATTTCTAGCTTCTTTTCTTTGGTGGCCATTATGATTAACCTAAAATGCTGCATGTTCTAACTCGTTTTTTTGGGTCTGCGTCTGGTGCGCAGCGAAGGTTATTCTTTTCAAGACGGCTTAAGTATTTAGTACCTATATTGGGTCTTTTAAAATATATTTCTCTGATCAGTTGCAGTAAAATGTGCTATTCTGAACAAACGTTGATCAAGGCAAAAACTTGAGAAAGAACCTCGCTTAGCTCTTCGATGCATTTTTATTTAAATCATGCCAAGTAGAGGTGGTTAAGTGCGCCCGGTATTACGACTTAGTCGTATTCATTCAACGCCAAGACAAATGTAGTTTCTTGTTGATAGATATTGTTTCATCATCAGGACGGGGCCTTTTAAATGTTATTTTAGATTCATTAACTAAGTATCCATCCTGCAAATCTCTCTTCCCTATTTTTTTCTCGTTTATATATCCCTAATTGCCTATTTTTTTCTACATTGGCGCGCCATTTTCCCATCAATGTAATTGAATTTGTAAGATGTGATAGCTAGACGTTGTTAAATCTTGATAAATCTTTTCTCACTCCTATGTGGTTTTTGGAGATAGTTATCACTTATGCTTTGATAGAAAATCAACTTTCGTAACACGTAGTCTTGCGTGGTTATTCTGCTGCTACGCCTTTATCTTTAAAATGATGGGGTGCTTTTTTACGGATCGCGTATTTTTATGATGTACTTAATTATAATGGGTAACAAGACCCTCTTGTAAGCGCCCTTTTAACTAGCCAAACTGGAAACCCTATGTAATAATACGTGCACGCTTGGGGAGTTATGTCGTCGCTCTCATTGTATTCGGTAAAGGTGTTTCTTTGCTTGTTGATTTGATTTGTCTCACTTGCTCAGAGGCTTACCTTGCGATGCTTCTCCGCCTCTCTGTTTATTTACTCATCGAATCCGGAGAAGCTAACTTGGTTTTTAAAAACGCACCTTTTTTTCAGTCGGAGGACTTATTCTCCGTGGTGGAGGCGCACAACGGCCAACCGCTACGGCTCTACGTCTACAACAGCACTACTGATCAGTGTCGTGAGGTGATGCTCATTCCTAACCTTTCTTGGGGAGGTGATGGCATGCTTGGCTGCGAAATTGGCTTTGGCTACCTCCACCGAATTCCCCCACCACCATCATCGGCCCTTAATGGCACTCACGCTCATCCTCCCCTCAGTGCTGCTGCTACTGCTGCTTCGACTTCGGTTACTATGCCAAATAACGGACTGTCAGGTAACCAACCGCCGTATCAGTCGTCACTGCCGTCACAGCAGCCGCCTCTCTGCAATCCGACTTCTCCTCCACCCCCACCTTCTTCTCTTCCGCCGCCACTTCTGTCTCCGCAATTTCCAGTAAGTTGGTTTACTTTGTTGTCATTGAGTAGAGTTTTGTCATTGCCCTTCTGTTCTCGGAATGGTGCTTCAAATTTGAACAATTTTTGGTCTTTCCAGTCAAGTTCCAGAAGAGACCTCTTGAAAGTGCTGCAGAAAATGTAGTCTTTATTTTAGTCTAAAAGGGCTTGAGCAGTAACACCATTCCGTTATATTTTCAGCCGACTGAAGTGACGAATGGTTTACCATCACATCCGCCACCGGCGTACCCATCGGTGGAATCAATAGGCGGAGTGGCACTGGCGCCACCAGCACCACTACCGAGCAATTTGTTTGAGGGTATCACTTTCACTCCACCCTCCACCCCACCCGCCCTTGTTCCGCTCGCGACCGATCGACACGAGGCCCCGGTGGAACCACCACCGCTTTTCACGACAGCACCTCCAGTATCGGTGGAGGCTCAACAACAGATGGCACCGCCTCCGCCTCAGGCACCGCTGACCTCCATATTCGCTCCACCGCTTCAGCCACCTATGCCACCACAGATGCAGTCATCTGGTCCGGCTACTGCGCCAGCTTTCTCAGTCCCGCTTATTCCGACCACCAATATTGCCCCGCCGGGAATGCCACCGATTTCTGTGCAGATGCCTCCCGCCGATCTTTGTACGTCATATACACCCCTCCGTGCCTGTATAATTGATTGTTAACAGCCTAGCTGCCATCAGTGTCAAAGTCGAATGGCGTAAAACCGTCTACTGTTCCATCATCTTACCGCAGGCTTTGTCTTTGGTGCCTCATCTGTTGTGTGGATTTAAGTCGCCAGCGTGGAGAAGGAGAGGATCCATCTCCATGGAAAAGGTTTTCTGTCTCACTTGTAACGGGGCTGGAGCACTTCTGTGTGAAGTGAAGGCGATAATGACTCCTCATCTTGTTTTGTGCTTTGGCGTTGGCAAAATACGCTGCATCGGCAGTGGTGGAGTACTTTGAACCTGACCAGGAGGGCTAATATCGCGAAGAGTAGGTCATGGATCGTGTTTTCCCAAGAGGTTTCTCCCTTTGCAACCCCTTTGCCGCACCTGGATCCTAAACGAATGTAGGCAAATGAAAGAAGAAGAAGTTCCCCAATTCATGAGGTCGCGAATCGTCCGATGGTTTCACCGTAGAGTGAATAAATGACCTCGGACACATCCCACATGATTTCACATTTTTAATCACGACTGTTATGTTTATTTTAGTGACTGGTCAACCACTGGCACCCTAGGCTACGACAGGACGGATGGTCTCCTTCACCTTGCCCTCCAACCCTCCGTCCCGTCCCCACCTTCGTCAATTTTGTTCTTGACTGTCGGTTCGCGTTTCCCCTCCCCCCTTTCCCACCCTTAACTTGGCGTTTTTATTTTCCGTGCCCGCCACTACACGCCATTGTTGCTAGCCTCCTCCTCTTCACCACCTATTATTATTATTCTCCCTTCTCAGCGCACGAAAGGCACGGATGATGGTAATAATAGTGAATGGCTTTCTGAAGGGCTCTGACTTGCTATGAACTCCTAGAAGCAGAAGTGGAAGTCGTTTCGTTGTCCAGCTTTTTCCCACAATAACGCTTTTTGGAGTAGGGTGTCTAAGGGATGCCTAGTGAGGAACTTAGTGGAATAATGGTAACGCAGATTGGATAGTATGAAGGTTTGTGAAGAAGTTGCCTCTACCTTGAACAAGAAGGTTCAAACGAAGAAGGATAATTAAGGCATCAGTTGACTTCCTGACTGACGTGGGTTATGGCTGACCTGTGTATTACCAGTGAATGCTAAAATGTGAACTTGATCCACCAGCTGGCCGCGTTGAATGTGTGTAGTTGGAAAACGGAAGTAGCAGCTCTGTTTTATTCCACAATACCGACATCCATCAGTTGCATCAAATGGTGGTTACGATTGCTGATGTCGCGATGACCCCCGTCTCCAGTGGATGGAAGGTTAATGCATCAGTCCCCGAGTACACAATAAATCTTGACCTAGAATAACTAAAACATCCACAGGTTAGCACGACGTCAGGGATTTTCCACGGCTTCTGTGGGTGGAGTAAATGAGACCCAATAAGCGACTGGAAAATAAAAAAAAAACAATTTTGAAATAATTTCATTTTGAAAGTCTTAAAATTCCACAAAGATAGGAATGAAATGTGGGGTTTTAAGGAAATCCAATCCCATCTCATCTAATCGCCTCCCAATTAAACACCCAAATCCTTCCACAGCTAAGATTAGTGACGGCATTGGATAACTCTTGTGTTGTGATGCCTTGTGGTGATAGGAGTGGCACCTCCGTA